GGGCGCTGGAGCTTAGCGCAGCTCAGCGCAGCCCATCGGCCCGCAGAGCGGACTGAGCTAGAAGCGAAGCGCTGTCGCCAGAGGCAAGCGATGAGGGCAGGTGCTGCCTGCAGCGCCATGGACCAGTCGCGCCTGCTGCTGCTGCTGCTGCTGCTAGGGGTAAGTGGTAGCAGGAGGGACGCCTGTTAACCTTTTCCAGGAACCGAACCCCAAGGGGATCCCAGTGCCACCACCCAGGAAACAGAATAGGACATCAAGGTCCCAGATGCTGGGAACCGGTGGCGGAGGAGCTGCGATACCGTGATCCACAGGGGCGCTTCTAGCTCTTGGGACTTTCAGAGAGCAGAGGAGACCCAGTCCCAGAATAGAGATGCGGACAGGACCGTGGCACCGATGCTGGTCCTTGGTGCTGCTGCTGCTACTGGTCTTTGGGTACTGGGCTGGGCAGGGTGTAGGGGACTGGGGGGGGGGTCTCTCGGGAGGAGGTTTAGGAATCGCGGGCGCCTGGGTTCTTTTGACGACGGCGTGTGAATTCTGGGATCCCGAGAGGACTTTTCCCTTTTCCATCTTAGTCCTTGGGGAGTTGTAGGACAGAACCGAGGAGAGAAAGGAGGGGGATGAGAGCAGCGCTAGAGATGTGAGGGGCTAGCGAAGGAACAATGGGGGAGGCGCTGGGCTGGAGGGACTGGAGGCAGAGGGGACCCGGCACGGACAATGGGGACCGGCCAGACAATGGGGGGGAGGGGCGTCTAAAGGAGCGATTCGGGAGTGGCAGAGAGGTTGAAGAGCTAGAAGTGGGTTTAAAGGAGGGCAGAAAAAAGACTGCCACTAAAGAGGTAGAGAGATAGAAAGCGGTGCGTATCCTAAAGTGCTCGGGGCCCCGCCTGCCTACTCAAGGGCAGTGGGACAAGGACGGCCGAGACACAGACGTTTCCCGCGTGGGTTCTAGCGCTCTTTCTCGCGGCCTCGCCCAGTCCGGGAATTGCATCTGGGCATCCCAGGCTGGGAAGGGAGCGCTCACTTCACTGGGGCAAATCCGCTGCCGGAGTGGATCCCTGGCAAGCCTTTTCTCGCGGTTTGGAACAACACGGTGGACCCGGAGAGACAGAGCCGGCAGCCCCCTACCCTATCTGACGCCGGGATGCGGAGCGCTGGGACGCTCCAGGCGGCGACTGTTGCTCGGGGAATGCACAAACCCCAGGCGACCCGCAGGGGGCACTGCGGGGTGCGGGACGGCTGTTCACAGCTGCGTGCGCGCCTGGGGCTGCGCACTGCGCCCCTTCTAAGTTAAGCAACCCCCGGGCCCGGTGCCATTTGCGCTCCTTCCTGTCCAGATCTTAATAGGGTCATCATCACGCACACATCTGGCTAGGCTTCGATAAAAGTCAATGAACCCTTCTCCAATGCGACAGGGGTCGCTTGGATGCCTGGGATTCTGTCGGATTGTTGTTCAGAGGCACCAATTCCAGCTAGGTCGTCAGATCTTGCTAAGAACCCGAGGACTCTGGGTACTTCTGATCAGATCTTAAGAAAGGTTGGCAATGGAAGTGGCGCCACCCTCCACCTTTTTCTTCCTCTGAGCACTGTGCCCCCAAAACTCTATTTTACTGACAAGGGAGGCGTGTAAACAAGTTGGCCAAGACCTCACAAGCAAGTTGGGCCAGAGTTCTGTGGCTGGATGCCCCCCCCACTTCACTCCAGCTCTGTGGCTCTCTCTACTCAAGGGTGCAGCTGTGGGCGGTCAACTTCGTTTCACAGCAGGGATGGGGGTGGCACCATCCCAAGGATAGGCAGAGGTGGGCTATGGAAGCAGAGGATGGAGAACCTATTCAAACTCGGATCCCAACCTCAAAGTTCAAACCTGGTTCCCTGGAGCTGTCAGTACCTGTGGCTTCCTCCGGGGTTTTGGGAGTGGCTGCAAGGGTGTTTGCTGACTAACGTCCCTGGTTAGAGATGCCTCGGGAGCTGTGTGGTGCTCATCCTGGAGAGGTGAGGGCGTGGCCTCTGGACCTGGGCAGGAGGATATCCCTGAGTTCAGAAAAGGCGAGCAAGGGAGGAGAGCTGGGCCTTGAGGCCTTAGCAAGGTGAACCGGGCACAGAATCTTCGGGCCTGAGCCCCCGGGACTCTACTTTTCACCTCCACCCCAGATTGTTCGGTGCGAGCCAGTTCAGCGGTCCGAGCCTCTTCCTGCGCCGCTGAGAGAGTACTGAAACCAGAGCGCGTCCCGGCGAGTCTGCTGGCGGGCCGAGCCGGTAATGGAGGCACTTTGTCATTCAGACGTCTGTAACCGGAGCCTCCGGGCTGGCTAATGCTCCTAATAGGGATGCAGCAGCGTAGGCAGTAAATGGGCAGCGTGAGCGTCGGGGCTGGCGTGGAGGGTGGATGGTGAGGCGGCTCCCGAGGGAAAAGCCTCCACCCTACCTGGTCAGCCCCTTCTGGTTCCAACACCTGGCTTCCTCCCTAGGGGATGAATTGGAAGAGAGGATATAGGCTATAATAACTTTTGTGAAGTGCCTACTCTGTGACCTGCACTGTCCCTAAGTACTTTTACTGTATATACGTACTCCTTAGGTCCCAGAAAGGTAAATTTAGTTATTCCCATTTTACAGGTGAGGAAGCTGACCCCCAGGAAACTTAGGCGGGACACCTGGCTCCCCCAGTCGAAAAGCAGAGGTGGCCTGTAGGAAGCTGGGGAGTCAAGGCTTTGGTCTTTCCTCCTCATGCGCAGTTCCTTTTCAGCTTCCCTTCCACTTACAGATCATGAAAGGGGGTGTGGTCCTGAACTGCCACTGACTGGGTGGGTTAGACTCTGCCCTGTGCCTCTGAGCTGAGCCACTCCCCTGCTCCAAGTGAGCAGAGCCCTAGCTTCTCTTCAAGTCTCCACAAGGCAGCTTAGCTTCTTAAGGGATCAACACCAATCTCCTTCTCATGACTCAGTGGCTGACCAAAGGGGCGGGGAGTAGAGCCGGAAGCCAGTGCCTACTCCTAGGTTCGAATCTATCTAACGCTCTCCAGCTATTTGAAAACCTCTCCTACCCCATATGGCTGTGACCAGGCTTCTATTCTCTGAGGAGCCTTCTCTGAAGCTGTTGTGTATGCTCAGGAAGGAGCCCATGGAAACACCCACATAGTTGCAAACGTTGGTGTGTTTTCTGTTTTGTCCAATTAAAAAAAAAAGTCAATTCATCGGAACACCACAAGCCCTGCAATGACAAAAATAGATGGTAAACATTCTGAAAAATGGAGACGCCATGCTATCAACTTTGAAATGAATGAATGTAATAGATATAACTATCAGGCAAATGGGTCTGTCATTTTGATAAATTGGTCAATTTGGATCGGATTTTGGAGCAATTAGCCTGAACTCCAGTCACACTTTCCTGCTTGGCGGATGGCTCCCTTTCTGCTTTGTCTTCCCTCGGGTCAGCATCTCATACTCCCTAAGACACACGACTTCCTCAATAACTACCATTGATTGAACTCCTACTGTACACCGCACAGATCTGCATACATTATTGCACTCACTTCTCATAACAATCCAGTGCAGGAGTCATACTCGTCCCAGTGTTTTAGATAGGAAAACTGAGATTTAGGAAGAATAAGATACTCAAAATCACAGGCTATTTTGCAGCAAATCTTGGACTTTGTGACAGAGGCAACATAAACTAAGTGCAGATGCTGACTGTGTGGCTTCAACTTTAAATACAAGTCCTGAAAGGAGTGGGAAGGGCAGGGATGCTTGCCCAAAGCTACTATGGCTCCCACAAGCATCATCAGCCCCACCCCCAACATACACCCTCCAACTCTCTGCTGACTTTGGTTTGGTGGAGCAGTGGTACACAACCCAGGTCCACAAAGGGTACACATACTAGAAGGAAAAAAAGGTTTTTGCTTGTTTGGTTTGGTTTTTGAGACAGGGTTTCTCTGTGTAACAGCCCTGGCTGCCTCTACCTTTTGAGTACTGGGATTAAAAGCCTGTGCCACCACTTATGGCTAAAAGGGGAATTCTGAAGAACTTTGACCCATACTCGCCACATTTACTACAGCAGTTTGAGGCAGCTGATGTCATGATTATCTACTGGTAGGAAACAGAGGCACAGAGAAATTACAAACCTGTCCATCATTCTGGCCCTAAATGATGAGGGACTCAGATCAATGGAAGAAGCGGAATGGGCAGTGATTATGCCCAAATGTTTGACCCAGGGTACTGTTCTTTCATGTTAACTCCTCCTCCTCCTCATCCTCCTCCTCCTCCTCCTAGTACCACACACACACACACACACACACACACACACACACACACACACAGACTCCATTTCTCTCTGTGTAGTCCTGGCTGGCCTTAAACTGGAGGTCTTCCTTTCTTAGCTCCTTATGCAGGGATCACAGGCATGTGTGCACCTGGCTCCCAGACAGCTTTTTACCAAGTCCAGTGACATCATTTTAAAAACTCCATTAGAACTGATACATTATGATTCTGGGAGAAGGACTCTTCCAGTCACGCTGATAGGAGCAAGAAGTGACAACTGATACCTTGACAGGAAGAGAAGGGACAGGAAAATTATCAAAAAGCTGACAAAATGACAAAAAATATGGTCATCTGGGATCAGGAACATGAGCGCACTGCTGCATTGCAGCCCTGAGTAATCGCTGCTGCTAACAGCCAGTGCCCCAGTGATGGAGAAACTGCAGAGGCAGAGGAGGGTGCAGCCCCCAGGTCACACAGAGAGAGACACTGAATGACAGCAGCACTTTTTTTTTTTTCTCCTGAGGACACATAGTCATCCAAAGTCAGTCTTCCAGACTTCTAGGTAACTGAAGGTGTATGGTAACTTTCTGTTCTTAAATCACACAGTTATGTCCATTGGTTCCCCACTCTGTGCCAGGTAGGGGCAGGAGATAGACAGTCAACCCCATGTCCATAGCTCTGCCTATCTAGTCTGGGAGGGGTGGGGATGACAGGAACACTTCCTTGAGGAAGTGATATTTAAGTAGAGTCCTAAGTGATGAAAGGAAATGAGAACAGACCCTTCTGGAATCTCAGCTCCTGAGAAAAGCCTGCCTCAGGGCTCCTGGTCTGCAGATGTTGCCAGCCAGCACTCCTACTGCTGGCACCTGGGAGGAGATGGTGGCAGCTTCTGTGCTGCCTTCATTGTCCCTGAAGGGCTCATAGAGACCATGTTGCTCCTAGGGCATCACCCAGTGTTCCTCCCCCAACTTCTATAGTTCATTTCCCATCAAACTCTGGTAAGACCACAA